ATATAACTAAAAAAAATCGCTGAAAGAATAATCAGTAAGTGGGCAAGTGACTGGAACAGAGACCTTTCAAATAAAGTACAAATGACTCAATGAAGACATGAAAAGAAAAAAATGTTCAGGGAATGGATCTATAGCCCAATGGGTAAGCTCTTGCTTTGCAAGCATGAGGATCCTAGCTTGAGTCAAAAAGGGGGATGCAGTGGCATGTACCTGTAATCCCAGTCCTATGGCAAATCCCTGGCAGTGCTCACACACATACAAAAACATGCACACATACATGCATACCACACATGTACATACACATGAAAATGAAAAATAAAAATGGGATGAACTCAGAATTTGAGCTAAGTAACATAGTGATTGATTGTTGTGATACAGAGAGAGAGAGAGAGAGAGAGAGAGAGAGAGAGAGAGAGAGAGAGAGACAGGCCTTGGCGGGTGGAGCCAAGGTGCCCCACTGCAGGTGAGTGCTCAGTGGGGAGTTTTATTTGGTGGGAGGAAGAGAGGGGAGAGGAAAATAGAGGGAAAGAGAGAGAGAGGGAGACAGACAGAGACAGAATTTGGAGGGGGGAGGTACGTACTATCTCCTGGTGAGGGGGAAAAGAGAGAGTACGAAGTGGGAGGAGTCCTTTCTTAAAAGGGATGGGAATATAGGATACCATCAAGATGCTGGGCTGGCCAGGGTATTATCTGCTTATTGGCTAGGATTCCAAGAAGTGGGTCTGAATGCTAACAATGACAACAGTCAAAGAGCAAATTAGCTATAAGAACAAGCGGTGAGTTTCTTTGAGAACACATAGGAAAGATCAAGGAATTAGAAACGGTGAGGAAAACAAGGCACATGGGTATTGGTGAAATTATTAAGGCCACTCCATGTAGTTAAAAGGAGATTTATTTAATGGTGTAACTTACAAATTAAGGGATAGGTAGGTCGCGGGGTCTGGGGAAGGTGTATCGCAGTCCAGCGGTGTTCTCTGGAGCTCTGCTTGGTACACCTCTCCAGTCCAGGGTCCCGCAACAGAGAGCACGCCCGCCAATCCAGATCTCCCAGGCGCCTCCTTTCGCCCCGCCTTGTAGGCGTGACAGTTGCCGAAGTCTCAATGGGGGTTGGAACTTCCAGATCAAAGCTGGAATGGCTACCCACTACACATGGGATACAGATTTAGCAATTCAGTATCTTTAAAAAAAAGTTATGTAAAAAGAGGGCATTAGTCGGGTGGTGGCGGCACGCCTTTAATCCCAGCACTTGGGAGGCAGAGCCAGGTGGATCTCTGTGAGTTCGAGGCCAGCCTGGTCTAGAGTGTGAGATCCAGGACAGGCACCAAAACTACACAGAGAAACCCTGTCTTGAAAAACAAACAAACAAACAAACAAAAAAAAAACAAAAAAAAAAAACAAAAAAAAAAACAAAAAAGAAGAGGGCATTAGATTCCTTGGAGCAGGAATTCCAGGAGGTTGTGAGTCACTAGATAAGGGTACTGGGAGCTAAACTTTGGTCCCCTGGAAGAACTGAAAGCTGGCTTAACCTCTGAGCCATTTCTCTAGTCCTGTTTTGTTTGTTTACAGACAGGGTCTTGCTATGTATCCTAGTCTGGCCTTCCAGCAATCCTTGTCTCAGATTCCTGAGTGCTGGGATTATAGGCATGTGCTACCATGCCCAGTTAGGAATTCAGTATTATCTAATAGAAATTCCACATGGAATCAAGAAAATGGGGCGGAACTTGTACCCCAGTATCTCTAACAAACCACATTCAGCCACCCATCCCAAACAGGCAAAGTAAGCCGCCCTGTGGGTGTGAGTGCAAGAGAACAGGTAGGAGAATTGGCCCTAGTGGCCCTGGTGGGTGCAGGAGAGTGGGCCGGCTGACCAACTGAGCTACCACCCAGGCCCTGATCCAGAGCTTTGAATTGGCCCACCCCCACATCTACCCCATCCAACTGCTGGAGCTTGTGAAGGGGCCAGTCCTGCAGAACTAAAGCTGCAGGATCTCCATGACACAGGGCAGCAACAGGATATCCAAGAGGAGTCCCGTGAGCATCCAGTATTGATAGTGTAGCCGAAGCCAGAGGCCTTGAACCAGACCAATGACTCACTGCAATGAACATTTGCAAGTAAAGCTGTTTGGGCAAAAGGGTGTATACTGTGTGACACACCGAGACACACCACAGCTTTCACAGCGAGATTTTTTTTTTTTTTTTTTTTTTGGTTTTTCGAGACAGGGTTCCTCTGTGTAGCTTTGCGCCTTTCCTGGGACTCACTTGGTAGCCCAGGCTGGCCTCGAACTCACAGAGATCCGCCTGGCTCTGCCTCCTGAGTGCTGGGATTAAAGGCGTGCGCCACCACCGCCCGGCTCACAGCGAGATTTTTAAAAATATTTTAATTTTAATTTTTATCTTTTGTTTTCTTTTGGGGGGCAGGTTGCAAGGACAGAGGGCAGATATGGAGGGACAGGGAGATGACTCGGATTGAGGTTCATGATGTGAAATCATAAAGAATCAATAAAAAGTTAAAAAGTAAATAAACCTGGGAACTGATAAGTAGACTATGGCAAAAGATCCCAAAGCTGCTGATTGATAGCTTTTGTGACATGTCCCTGGTGTTTATGGGATGCTCTCTAGACATAGGGTCCTACTGCAGACAAAGCCACCAAGTTGCCTAGACAATCTATTATGTACTCTGGTACCATGGACTATTTCTGGAAGACAGAAAGGGCACCATAGGGCTGGGACATGGCTGCAGCTATCATCAGGCAATCACCCCATTAGACTTTGGGGTAGGGGCTCCTCAGATTAATACCACCTGCAGCAGCTACTTTATCCATCCTCACAGTTCCTGTGAAAGAAATGGCAACCCCCCTACCAAGAGCCTTTCTGTGAATCTGTAATCCTCTAACAGGCACCCCAGGTACCCAGACTCCAGACCAGATGCTACTCAGATCATGCCCATCTGCAGCTCTCTCAACCTCCACCCTCATATTTGATTCTGTGATCATTGCTGCTACAGGGACAGATGGACACCCTACAGAGAGCCTGTCTAAGAATCTGTAACCCTCTAACAGACTCCCCAGGTGCCTGGATTCCAGGAGAATGGCAGGCACCTTATTTTTCACTTTCCCAAAGGAAATTTACAGGCCCCAAGCTACCAGACTTTGACCCTCATCCTCAACCCTTCCTCCCCTTCTCTCATGGCCTAGGAATTAGATCTCTGACTACAAGCAAGCACCATGGACTAATTACCAGCCGTGTGGCAAAGAACCTCTTTTTTTCTGATACCTCTAAGGAGGAACCCATACTCTGTTTTGTGGGTCTGAGCTCTCATGAACCCTGCCATTCTGTCTTTCCAAGGCATTAATACATTTTTATTAAGTTTGTTATCCCAAAGGACAATCCTTTTCAATGTGCTCTTCCCTCTGAGCTCCCAAACCAAGACCTTTCAACGCCCACGTTCTCTGTGTACTTCTTTAGATTTGGTTTGGAGAAGAAACTACAACAGAAATCCCCAGAGGACTTGATAGCCTATTCTCACTTCTTTGTAGCCAGGATATGATCGGGTATGTTCATCAGAATCATGTCCTCTAGAGAACAGATCAAGTGCTTTCCATAGACCTACTTTCTTGGCTTTGAAATAGTCATGAAGTTCCTGAGCTGGGTCACACACCTCCCCCCACCCCCGGCTTTTTAGGCTGCCATAGATTTTGGGTAGGAAAACCCTGGAAAGTCAACTGTTGTTGATGAGAAGCAGGTTGTCTTGAAGGGCAAGGAGAGAAGGATGAGGGATCAGAACTCTTCAAGGACATGATGAGACTCTTGCCTCAGTGACATCTTGTACCCGAAGTGACTCGGTGTACCTTTTGGAACTTAAGTTCATTCTTGTCAGTTTAGGAGCTCTAGACACAATTTGGAAATGGAATAAGTAGCCTCTAGACTAGTTACCACTCGTAGCGAGATTGCTACCTGTGATTGACTGTTGGCTATACTACACCCAAAATAGTCCTTGCTAAGAAGGTAATTTTAGCCTCTCACTAAAGGCATTTGCACATTTTCCACCAGCTGACCAGGACCTTCAGTCGTTAGCCGAGAAAACCCAGCTAATTACCAATGTGCCTTCTAATTGTGGGCTGCAAGAGTTAATTCAAAATATATCACATATCTAATTCTAAAACACAAAACTCTGAAGTTTTGTGAAGATGACTGGTGATTAGATAAATATGTCAACTTGACTGGGTAAGGGATGCTCAAATGTTTGGTTAGTGCTATTTCTGGGTGCGTCTAGGGGTATTTTGGGGAATGATCAGCATTTGAATTGGTGGACCAAGTAAAACAGATGACTCTCAGCAATGTGGGTGGATGTCACCCAATCTGTTCAGAGATTGACTAAAACAAAAGAGGTGTGGGAAGGTTGAATTCACTGGGGATCTGAGATGGGATTCCTGGCAGTCACAGTAAAAGCTGGGCACGGTGGTTCATGCTGGTAATCTCTGTTTTTGGAAGGAGCATGGGAATGGATGGTCAGCCACTGGATGGTCAACCAGTTTGAGCTGTATCTGTGAGTTCTGGTGGGAGACCCTGTCTGAACATGAATGAGGAATATACCTGTTGTTGCTATCAGGTTTCCGCATGCATATGGTACATGTGTGCACCTGCATCCTCCCACTCAAGATACAGGTGAAAAAAACTATTAAGATAAAAAAGCTGTTGTAAGCCGGGCGGTGGTGGCGCACGCCTTTAATCCCAGCACTCGGGAGGCAAAGCCAGGCGGATCTCTGTGAGTTCGAGGCCAGCCTGGACTACCAAGTGAGTTCCAGGAAAGGCGCAAAGCTACACAGAGAAACCCTGTCTCGAAAAACCAAAAAGAAAAGCTGTTGTAAAGATGTATGTACAGATTTTTGTATAGATACACATTTTATTTTCTCCAGGCCCAGGAATCAAAATTGGCTTTTCAATCTCTCTCTCTCTCTCTCTCTCTCTCTCTCTCTCTCTCTCTCTCTCTCTCTCTCAAATAGGCTGTTTTCATCAGCAAAATTATATTGAAATACATGTCATTCATGCAATGACAGAGTTGAGAGGTCGTCTAAGTGTGACTCACAAGTCTATCAGAGTCCCTATTTTGTCCTTTAACAGAAAGGTTTGTTGATGTTGGCTCCAGGAGTTTGAGGTCCCTGGTGAGTTAACCTAGATGGACTTTCCCAAATGCTTTCCCAGAACGGCAGTACCATTTTGTTTGCTATCAGCAATGTGCGATGTTCCATTTGTTCTCCATCCTGATGTTATCTTTCTTCGTTCATCGTTTTAGTGGGTGCTCCTTCTGAAATGTGAGAGCTGGCATACCCCACTCTCTTTGAAGACGTTTTATCAACTTTTGCATTTAGAAGTCAAGAAAAAAAAATCTGTGTTTTAACTTACTAGTGTTAATATAGGAAATATTTTCAAAATGAAAGCATACTTAAGGTCCAAAATGAAGAAATGAGATAATCTGGGCAAGGTGGCATATGCTTCCAGTTACTTAGGAGGCTGAGACGAGTTTGTTGAGCCCAGGCCTTTGAGGCCAGCCTGAGCAAGACCCCATTCCTTTAAACAAACAACAACCAACAGAAAGAGAAGACTAAGACAAACTCTCATGAGTCAAAGACAAATCTAGTTTGAATCAATTCTCAGGAATAAAATGTAAAGGTAATTACTTAAAAAATTGTTTCTGTTGTCTTTTGTGGTAAATAGTATGGATTTTCAGAATTAAAACAGAACCACTGTGCCAATAAGAATATTACACACATACTTACCTGGCAGGGGAGATACCATGATTATGAAGGTGGTTTTCTCAGGGCAAGGCTTATCTATTGCACTCTGGATGTGCTGACCCCTGCGATTTCCCCAAATGCTGGAAACTTGACTGCATAATTTGTGGTAGTGAGGGACTGCATTTGAGTTCTCCCCTAAAAATAAATAAATAAATAAATAAATAAATAAATAAATAAATAATATCATGGTCACACATGTTTTTCAAGACAGAGTTTCTGTGTGTAGCCCTAGCTGTCCTGGAACTTCCTCTGTAGACCAGGTTGACCTTGAACTCACAGAGATCTGCCTGCCTCTGCCTCTTAAGTGCTGAGGTTAAAGACATCCACCACCACCACTTGACTATATTTTAATAATAATAATAATGCTAGGAGACAATGAGGGAAGTTATCTATTGTACATATACTTTATGACAAGAAATAACACAAATACTCTGTGGGGAAAACCACCTGTGCAAAGCCCATCACAATTTTAGAAGGATTCTGAGCCTGGTGTGGTGCACATCTGTAATCCAAGCCACATGAGGATTGTAAATTTGAGGCTAGTCTGGACAACATAACAAGATCCTGTCTCAAAAGACTAAACAGAGCCTAGAGAGATAGCTCAGTGGATAAAACACTTGCTGATCAGAATTAGGAACTCCAAATTCTGCATGAAAGCAAGGCAGGTTGTGGTAAGTCCCAGTAGTTCCAAGACTTGGGAGACAAAGACAGGGGCATTCCCAGGGCAAGCTGGCCAGCTAGACTAGCTGGAACTGGCAAGCTCTGGGTTCAAGTGAGAGACCCTGCCTCAAAATAAATAGACTGAGGAAGACCTCTGATGCCAACTTTTAGGCCTCCACATACATGTTTACACAGGTGAGCACATGCCCTCATACACATGTGCCTGTGCATACATGCAGAAGCATCATATACACAAATGTAAAAAGAAAGATAAAACAAAATAATCTTTGATAAGACTGTCTGTCCAATGAGTTTCTATTTAGTGTTGGACTAGTCTCAATCTTTTGTTGATCCGTGTAGCTGGGTATTATTATATCAGAACAATCTATTTCTCCCTCCTCACTTTGATTTAGAAGTCTCCGTCTCCTCTCGAATGTGCACGTGATTTCTATGGCCTGCATAATCTTCCTTATGGTGCTTTCTACTTACTCCAGAGTCACTCCTCTGTCTCTTCTCAAGGCTGACTATCACAAACTAGGCAGAAACTCGTTACTTTTCTTATTTACCAGACAAGCGCATTTCCAGTACTTCATGTGGCAGATTACAGATCTACACAAATTCTTTGACAGCTCTCTCACTGAGGTGGACTTATGTCTCCCTGAGTCTGCATAGACTTTCTAATGTAACTCTGATCAGTTTACATGGCAGAAGTGGTTACTCTGTTGGCTTTTTGGCATCAACCTTAGGAGACTGGTAGCTTTAGCTTGCTATGTTTTTGATTATCCTAGAAACTCCCAGAAGTCCAACTATCTGGAAGACATTCTAGGGGTACTATTTATATGCACACTGTGCCCGATCTTCCATGCCAAGGTGCCAGACATGTTAATAATGCCATCTTGGGCCCTCCAGGCCATCCATCTGCTAGCTGAGTGATCAGGTGACATCCATAGATGCCACATTGAGCAGAAAATCATCCAGCTGAGTGAGTTCTGCCCAAATTCTTGACCAATACAATTGTGAGCTATGGGAAAAATGTTTAAGTCAGTAAGTTTTGTTCCAACAGTTATTGACCATTATCTAACAGTAGATAACCTGAGAGCTTACTGTGTATCAGGAGAAGAGCCTTTGAGGTAGACAGATTTGGGATAAGATAAGAACTCATTAATGTATATTTAAGATTTTTTAATGTATATTTAATGTGCTGTATCTGATGTATAAGTTTTTTTCCCTTGTCTTTTCTTTGTCTTAAGAAAATGTGTATCTCTCTTGAATACATGCCAGAGTAGCATAGACCTGGTGTTTGGAAGAAAGAAGATTCTTACAATTCTTACAAATTACATATCTATATGTTTATATATCTATATATCTGCAACTTATAAATCTACATACATACCCATGCTGTGTAGACATATATGGTTAAAAAATATTTTTAGATAAAGGATTGTTTGCACAAGGAATAACTCCTGGTTCAGGTAGCATGTATGAGAAGAGCTCCACTGAGCTCCACTCCATGATGCGGGTAGCAAGGTTTAAAAACTGATTGATTTTTATACTTAATTAACAGACAACATGGTGATTTTGTGAGATGTGCTGAGCACTCAGCCAGTGACCTTTTGCCTGTATTGTTTGATGTAAAGGGTGAATTATTTCCAGGGAGCACAACTCAAAATCTTTCAACTCCGCATCTTAAGACACTCTTGAATCCTATAGCAGGAACTATTGGAGCCTCTAGTGGAAGACAGGGTGGTTTGGGAAAAGGACAACCCCATTTTTCTTGCCCCAATATGTATATTATTGCATGGTGGTCACTTAGGTATTGTCTGCCAGAGTACCCTCCAGCTTGAAAAACCACAAGAACAAATTCATTCATTTTTGTCTATGCCCAGAGCAATACTAACTACATGGAACTATATAGGGACCAGAAAGAGGGTCCCTGCTGCTTGGAATGTAGTTACTGGTTACCAACAATAAAATACCTTTTAATTTTTAAACAGTTTAACTAATTGAAAAATACCTGTAATAATAACTAGGTGTCCAGACTTACCATTTGTTAAGTCATTGGAAATTACTAAAAATTCACTTGTCTGAAAATGTTTAGTGACTGTGGCTGATTCTACACCTGCTTACTGCTATGCTTATGCCCTAAGCTTGTCTCCGGGTGCCTTGGCCTTCTGTACTAACACTTGCCTGCAGAGACACCATGCCCTTTGCGGTCCCATGCCTTGAGGAAAAGTTGAGACAAACTTCCTCAGAGACTTACATTGACTTCCTGTTGAGAATTGCTGATATCAATATCTCTAGGTGATTATAAGAATCTTTCAATCGAGGAAGAGAAAACTGACAATTTCAACCTTTAGGAAACTTTTTCTTGGAATTCGCCAATATGCAGTGAGTGGCTGACACGGCTTTGTTAGAAGTTACCGCATATGCTAGCCATGAAATTGGTGTAGTTGCCAGAATTCTGCTTCTCCTTTTAGCGTAATGTGTTTGTTTGTGATGCTGTCCTTGGGGTGAGAGCCCTGAAAAGAAAGAATGGCATGGAAATGTGAGGTTGTACTGGCAGGCAGAAAAGTCATATCATAAACATATAAATATATATAATACATCTACCTATCATCTACCTGTTTGTCATCTATCTATCTATCTATCTATCTATCTATCTATCTATCTATCTACTAATCTCCTAGCTACTGTCACCAGGGTCAGAGAGTTCCTTTTGTAGATTCTTGATCTCATTGTTAAAAGAATTTAAGAAATGATGCAGAAAGGAACTACTGGACAATTTGTTGAAATTAGAGCGAGAACAAACAGAGCAGGAAAGCTGGAGATCTTAGTAGCTTCTTGGAAAAAAAAAGAATGAAAGAGGCCAAAGAGAGAAATGTACATTTTAATAAAGTCCGGACAATAAGATACAGCTTGGAGGACAAGGGAGGCACTCAGTGAAATAAAGAGGTGGGTGCCCACAGCATTTGTTCCTTGCTATTTTTATTGAAGAGTACAAGATTGTCCTCCTAAGGTGAGCTGAACCTTGGGCACAGAAGCAATGTTCCACACCTGTGCACCCAATGAGAAGGAAATATTTAACCTTAATATAGTATGACCTAACACTGTAGACAGCTAAGAGTTGATCTGTGTGGTACAGAACTAAGGACAGACACATTTAAGGAAGGAAGGAAGGAAGGAAGGAAGGAAGGAACAATAGCTAACTGGATTTGTTGTTGTCAGTCTGCCTTTTAGTTTTGTGGTGGTGATGTCAAAGTTTTTAGAGTCCAGGCCTTGGCTCTGGTAGCCCTAACAGGCTCAGCCACCTGTCCTGAGTGCACAGACTGCAGAGGCAAGTGTTAGTAAGGAGCACCAAGAGGAGGCAAGGAACAAATAAAGAGACCCAGTGGCCCCCAAATCCATCCTTGAAGTACTGACATGAAGTCTGCATTCAAATAAAGGGCAACTAAGCCCTCCTGGCCCAGTTGTGGAAATGCCCATTCTTGTGAGAGCTGTGTGAAATCTACTCCCAGGAGATACATTCCTCCTCTGAATGACACTGGGGTCTCAACCTTCCTCTTTCCCCAGCAGATTTCTGGGAAAATTCCATTTCTTTGGGGTCCGGTGTTTTAATAGATTAAAAGAGTCTCTCCTTCTGTCTTCACTCCTGCCAGGACTTTTATGTAGCCAGGCAAGAATAATGAACAGCATTTATTGCCTTCAGCTTACCTTTTAGATTTGGGCCAGAAAAGAAGACCTAACTGTATTTACTGCCACCCACTTACCCTTTAGCTCTGTGGCCAGTTTAAAGCCCTTGCCATTGGTTCACCTTTACCCTGGCAGTTAATTATAAGCAGTCCATGATCTTTATCACCGACTTGGAAGGCTAGTGGTGGTTTATTATGAATAGCAATGGAAGGCCTGTGCTTGAACACAAGTGAGAAGCAGCTTGGAGATTTTCCATTATCATGCTTGAAATCTGCTGTTTTACCCTGTAAAGAGTTCCTATCTACCAGGGAATTGCTGACCACTGATAGTGTTATTCATCTCAGAGGACGCTGATATATTCATGATATTCATGTGCCTGTGTGGGTGCGTTGGAAAGACATGACTGTTTTGTCCCCTTCCTGTCTAGTAGCCCTGATTACTATGTCCCTTGTAGTGAAAGCTACCCCAACCAAGGGTATAGGGGAAAGTGCACTGGCGTACTTCAAACCCTATAACCCATTGTATAACCTGGATGTAGTTGATTGGAGTCGGAGTTGTCAAATACAACCAAAGGTCAACTAGGACAGTTAATGTGTGTTTGTTTTCCTTTTTCTTAGAAACATGAATTTAGATGCATGATAATACAAAATACCAGAGTTGGTGGTAAGATTCAAAAGCCAGAATGAACCTGCAAGCTGGAGAGGCTACAAGAGACCATATAAAAGCCAGTGTTAGAGAACAGAACACCGGCAAGCAGAGAAGCCCAGGACAAGGAATGCAGGAGAGTCATGTCATATGTAGAGTGGAAGCGTGGGTATTCATGAATGGCCAGTGCTGTGAGCAATCCCTCCTTTATATCTAGAACTGCTTCCAGCCTACACTTGTACTTGGGTTTCTGTATGTGGCTATCTGGGATGCTATTAATTCTTCAGGTAGAACTCTACCTAGTTCAAGTGAAAAATGTTAATGAGAGATTTCTTTGTTTGTTCCTAAAGAAATAAAATGTGTAGTCTTAGCCAGATGCGGTAGCATGTACTTTGAATTTCAGCACTTGGAAGGCAGGTAGATCTCTCTGAGTTTGAGGTCAGCCTTGTCTACATAGAGAATTCCATGCCAGCCAGGGTTACATAGTGAGAGCCTGTCTCACACAAACAGACAAAATATGCATAGACTTATAAACTGGTGAAGGTTGAAAATACATTTATGCAAGTCATAGATAACCCCTACTACAATTAAGCAGGGGTTGCTAAATATGTACAGTACACTTTTAATAAGGTTAGTACATTTTTCTGATGTTGGTAAATCATGGAGCCCCCTGCAGTTAGCCATAAATGTTAAAGTTTTCAGGACCTAAAGTCCAAACATTATCTTTCATGCTGCAGACATTCATAATACACCTTATTTGGTGCATTTCAGAACTGAACAAAATTGACAATTTTCCTTGCTGTCATTTCTAACTACATTAATATGCAACTTGCATTGAAAAGGCCATTAAACACTGGCTGCTTGAAATTCTAATTTGCAGAAGCAAATTTTATTTGTTTCTTTATTCAAATTTTTTATATTTTGAGAATTTCACACAAGTATTGTATTTTCATCATTTCCACCTTTCTATCTTCCTGCTCCAATTCCTCCTGGGTCCCCTTTCAGGTTCATGACCTCTTTGTCTAAAATTATTGTTGCTGCACACACATCATAGCTTTAGTTGTCAACTTGTCGTACATGGAAAGAAGGAACTTTAGGTGAGGGATTGACTCCTTCAGATTTGCTTGTGGTCATGTCTATGAGGTAGTTTTAAGACTGTTATTTGATGTAGGAGGGCCCAGGCTCTTGTGGACAGTATCATCCCTAGACAAGTCAGCCTGAGTTAGATAAGAAAGTTAGCTGAGAAACCAGGGATTGCAAGCCAGTAAGTAGTGTTCCTCCGTGGTCTATCCTTTAGTTCCTTGGCTTCCTTCCATGATGGACTGTCATCTGTGAGCCAAATCAACTCCTTCCTCCCCAAGTTGCTTTTGCTCATGGTATTTATCATAGCATCAGAAAGTAAAGTAGGACCTCCCCATACACACAGGCAGACCCCTCCCCTGGAAACTTACTGAACCCATCTAGTGTTGCTCTTGTGCTTTAGGGCTGACCAATTGGGATTGGACAATCCATCAGGGGTCTTGGCCTTAGAGAGACTGATTCTCCTTCTCTTAGCAGCCATTAGCTTTAGCTCTTCATCTAAGAGTGAGGCCATGGGAATTTCCCTATGTTAGCATGCTGATTGTTGTCTTAATACAGATCTTGTTCAGACTAATACAGTCAAGGTTATATAGAGCACAACAATGTTATTTTCCCCAGGGGGAAAAAAAACACTGGAAGCACAGACAGGAGAATCACTTTCCCGAACTATTTTCTAGAAATTGAGGAAGGCCACAGGCATTCCTGTGTTCTTCCCACATTTGTTGGTACTCCAAATTCCCTTCTTGAGAAATATCAACATCGGATGTTCCCATGTCCATGTCACAAATTCATTATATTCTTACATAACCTTAATTCATATCCTGAGATCATATGACTCAGCTATACCACTCCTGATCATGTATCCAAAGACCTCTATATCCCATGGCAGAGATTCCTGCATGTCCATGTTCATTACTGTTCTGCTCACAGTAGCTAGGAAATGGAATTGTCCTAGACATCTATAAGTGAATGAGTGGATAACAAAAATTTGGTATTGACTTTTCTTTGGTACCTTCCCACTGAGTTCCACAGTGTCTGCACCAGTTTACAGTCCTACCTGCTGAATATAAAGCTCCATCTTTCTCCTAATCCTGGCCAGCATTTGTTGATGATAGTTTTGTGATGATAGCCATTCTGATGGAGGCCAGCAGTTTGAATTTGCATTTCCATGATATTGGAAATCTGTTTCCTAATTAAAATTTTTTTATATATTTTTGTTTTATAATTAACTTAATTTCATAGCCACGGATTTCCCCGCCCTCCTTCCCCGCACCCCACAGCCCTCCCCCCTCAATCTACCCCCATTCCCACCTCCTCCAAGGCAAGGTCTCCCCTGGGGAGTCAGCCCAGCCTGGTAGATAAAATTTTTTATTATTTTAAATTATGTGAACGTGTGTGTGTGTGTGTGTGTGTGTGTGTGTGCGCGCACACACACACACACGCGGGTATATGTATCTGTGTGTCTGTGTGTCTGTGTGTCTGTGTGCAGATGACTGAAAGGCCAGAGATGTTCCATAGCCTGGAAATGGAGTTACAGATGGTTGTGGTCTGTCTGATGTGGGTGCTGAGAATCGAAGTTGGGTCCTTTAGAAGAGCAGTACATGCTCTTAACCACTGAGCCATCTCTCCAGGCCCTTTATTGGACATTTCTGAAATATATTTATTGTCTATTTGTATTTCTTCTTTAATGTATTTTTGAGAACTTCATACTTGAGTGCTGCATCTATTTCACTCCCACACCCTCAATTCCTCCCATGTTTTCTCCTCCAACAGTCATGACCTCTTCTATAATTATTATTGTTACAAATGTATAAATATGTAGGTACACATACACACACACACACACACACAGAGCCTACTGAGTCTATTTAACATTGTTTGTATGTACATACATCCAGGGATGATCTCTTTATTTCTTCTTTTGTGAACTGTTTCTTTATTTCATTAGCCCATTTATTGATGGTATGATTTTTTTGTGTGTGTATTTTTTTTTTTTGAGACAGAGTCTCACTGTGACTGGCTGGAACTCTCTTATGTAGATCAATCAGTCTAATGTCCAAGTCCCCAAGATCCACCTGCTTCTGCCTCCCAAGAGCTGGGATTAAAGATGTGCACCAGCATACCTGGCTTTGTACTTCTGACTTTTGCAGCTCATTATGTATTCCAGATGTTAGTACCCTGCCAGATGTATAGTTGGCAAAGACTTTCTACTATACTATTAGCTACCGCTTCACTCTGCTGACTGTTTCTTTTGCTATGCAGAAGCATTTTTGTTTTGTGAAATCCAGTTTGTGAATTTTGAAGATTATTTCCTGAATTTCTGGAGTCCTTTTCAGAAAGGCCTGTATGTTGAAGTGTGTTGCTCATATTTCTGTCTATCATTGTTAAAGTTCCAGGTCTCACATGAAACTTTTGATCCGTCTTGAATCTATTTTGGTACCAGATGAGAGGTAAGGCTGGCTTTATTCTTCCACATGTGCACATACAAGTTACCCTGGGCCATTCTTTGATGACACCTTTTTCTAGTGCATTGTTTTTGACACTTTTGTTGAAAATTTGGTAGCTATCACTGTGTGGATTTATTCACAGGCAGCCCTTGATTCTCTTCCATGTGTCTACATGTTTGCATTGGTTCCAGTGTTACACAGTTTTTGATTCTGTGGGTCTAGTGTGATTTGAGATCAGTGACTGTTATTGCTGACATTGCTCCTTCTACATAGGTTAACTTTGGTTAGCCTAGATCTTTTGTGCTTCTATATGAATCTTAGAATTTTTTTTCTAGTTCGGTGAAGAATGTAATTGGAATTTAAATATAGATTATGCTGAATATGTGAATTGCTCTTGGTCCTAGCCACCATGTCTTCCCTGCCAGATGAACTGTATCACCTGTTAACTGTAAACTGAAATAAACCACTTCTCTTTGAAGTCACTTATTGATCATAGTGAAAAAAAAAGGTCATATACCATGTAAGAAAAGAAGAGAACCTGGCAATGTTGACTGACCTCTGCAATCCCAGTCTTTGGGAAGTGGAGGCAGGAAGATCAGGAGTGTAAGGTCACCCTTAGTTACATAGCATGTCTGAGGCCAGCCTGAGTTACAGGAACCCTGTGTCTTAGTTACTTTTATACTTCCATAACAAAGCATCATGACCAAGGCAACTTATAAAAGAAAGCATTTCATTCGCTGCTCACAGTTCCAGAGGGTAGTTGAATCCACAACCATCATTGTGGAGAGCATGGCAGCAGGCAGGTACTGGAGCAGTAGCTGAGAGCTTACATGTTGAGACAACAACCACACGACAGAGAGAAAATGGTCAATGGGAATGACATGGACTTTTGAATCTTCAAAGCCCATCCCAAGTGACATGCCTCTTCTAACAAGACCACACCTCCTGATCCTTCCCAAATAGTTCTACCAACTGCAGAGCAAGCATTCAAACATATGAGCCTATGAAGACCATTTTCATTCAAACCACCATATACTGTCTCAAACAAATAAAAAATAAGTACAATAAGGGCTTCTTTTCATCAAGCCATGGACTTAAGAGAATGCAAAGGTAGGCCACAAAGTGACTGCTGTTGCTGAAGTTCTTTCCCGGGGGGAGATATAAATTAACATCTACCTCTCTTCCCAGGGTCAGATTCACCCTGGAGAACCAATGAGTTCATTAGATTTACTTAAAGAGCAATGGGTCAGGAGTTATGAGCAAGAGTGTAGATAGCCTTTAAGAAGCCATGCTGGAAAGTCTGTAACCAACATGGATTATGACTGCACGGATGGGGCCTGTCCTTAGTCCTTCCCAGCCGTTAGACTTCTGGTCCCTGCCTGGGTCAAAATGCAATTATGACAGAACTGCATACAGCTGGTTGGAGAGAGTAGCTGGATCACTGGGTGAAGGGTCCTTCATGTTGTCCTCCCCACATTTTATGGGAAGAGGTCAACAATCAATAGGTCAAGCTGTGATGATCTTTTGCAAGTGGGCATAGCTGAATTCATGAAGATGGCTGCACTTTGGCTCTGAGGATAGCCCTGTACAACACCTGCAACTGACGAAGACCTTCTAACTGGATGACGCAAACTACCACTGCAAATTAATAAGGAAGGGGAAAAAAAGACAACTTATTAAGATGGTTAAAGAGTTGAATAGGAACTTTGCAGAAAAGGTATCTAAGTATAAAATAATTATGTGAAATAGGCTCAATTTACTCGTAATTGGCAAATTGCAAATTAAAAGAGAACCTCCTACACAATTATCTGAACAGCTTAGATTAAAAAGGCTGCAATGTCTAATATGACCAAGGATGTAAAGAGGTACTGGTGGAAGCATAAACTGGCAGAGTCATTTGAAAGTAGTTTAGTATGATGTGCTGAGGCTAAAGATAAAGCAAACTTATGAATAACCATTTCATACTTAAGAATTCACTCAGCTGTATTAGTTACTTTTTTATTGCTGTGTGTGGTGGTTTGAATGAAAATGGCTCCCATAGACCCATAGGGAGTGGCACTATTAGGGGATCTGGCCTTGTTGGAGTGGGTGTGGCTTTGTTGGAGGAAGTGTATCATTAGGGGTGGGCTTTGAGGTTTCAGATGTTCAACCCTAGCCCAGTGTCTCACTCTCTTCCTCCCGCCTGACCATCTGGATGTAGAAACTCTTAATTACCTCTCCAGCACCATGTCTGCCTGTACACCACCATGCTTTCCACAATGACAATAATGGACTAATCCTCTGAACTGTAAGCCAGCACCAATTAATTGTTTCCTTATAAGAATTGCTGTGGTCATAGTGTCTCTCCACAGCAATGGAAACCCTAACTAAGACATTGGGATAGAACAGCATGACCAAGGCAACTTGTAGAAGGAAGGTTTTATTTGATTATAGTTCCAGAGGAATAAGAGTCTGTCATGGTAAGGAATCATGGCAGTAAGCAGCAGATATGGCGGTTAGAGCAGAAGCTGACAGCTCACAGCTTGAACTTCAAGCATGAAGCAGAGAGAGTGAACTTGGAATTATGTAAGTCTTCAAGCTTTCAAAGCCTACCCTATCTCCAGTGACATACTTTTTTCAACAAGGCTACACCTCCTAAACCTCCCCAACAACACCACAAATTGGAACCAAGTATTCAAATCCCCAAGACTATGGAAAGCATTTCTCGTTCAAACTATGTCTGACTCTCATAAGCTCATGCCCATATTATCATGCAAAATGCATTTAATATAACATCAAAAGTTCCCACAGTCTTTCACAGTTGAAGTCCAAAGTCTTTTTTGAGACTTAAGACATGTTAAAAGTTCAGTCTTGGCCGGGCGGTGGTGGCGCACGCCTTTAATCCCAGCACTTGGGAGGCAGAGGCAGGTGGATCTCTGTGAGTTCGAGGCCAGCCTGGGCTACCAAGTGAGTTCCAGGAAAGGCGCAAAGCTACACAGAGAAACCCTGTCTCGAAAAACCAAAAAAAAAAAAAAAAGTTCAGTCTTTTCTGAAACTCAAAACAATCTCTTAATTGTAACCTTCTGTAAAAATCAAAAAGCAAATTACATACTCCAACATATAATGGCATAGAATGTACATTACCATTCCAAAGGGGAGGAATAGGGACATAGTAAGAAAATACTGGACCAAAGCAAGGCTGAAACCTATCAGGGCCAATACCAAAGCCTGTAGCTTCATGACTGATGCCTGAGACTTTAGTTTCAAAGGTCGTAGATGGCTCTGACCCTCTAGCTTTGCTGCCTGCAATATACATCTCTCTCTTGGGGCTGGTTTCACTACCTGTATGCAGCTCTCCATGTTATGGTAGATGTCTCATGGCTCTGGCATCTCCAGTATCTTGGAGTCTCCACTGTAAGTCAAGCTTCACTTTCATAGCTTCACATGACGGCATCTCACAGCCTCTTGACCTATCAGGGTCTTCAGGCAGGGATTCCCTTGCCACATGCTGCTTGGCTTCAGCAGCTCTCTGAAACCAAGGAGGATAAATCCATGACTCATTCACTCTTGCACCTCTCATATGTCTCGAAAGCTGGTATCATGAGGACACCATTGCTAAGTTTGGGTACCAGCTCAGGATGGACCCTCCTCCTCCTGTATCACATCAGCAACAGCTTTTGTTTGTTGTTGCTTTCTAGAAACAGAAACTCCATAGGCCTTTTCTTTTCACAAATTGGAAGCTTAGCAGGGTGGGGTCTTACCCTAAGGGCACCCTTTCCTTTGTTACAGTGGATATCAGGCCTCTCTTAATGGTGTAAATCTCCTTGATGATTTTATCTTCTCTTCTAGCACATTCTTTGGCTGCAACATTAAATTTTCCAATGCTTCCTTTTTCTCTAAATTGTACATTTTCACCCATTTATTCTTTTTCATTGTAGACCTGTATAAGCATTATCAATAACAACCACACCATAGATACAATGTTATGCTGTTTTGAAATTTTCTCTACCAGGGAAATTAGTCCATGTATTAGTTATTTTTCTGTTGCTGTGATAAAACACCATGACTAAGGCAACTTATGAAAAAAAGAGTTTGTTTGGGCTTATGTGTACGGAAGTTTCTGTTCCACCGGCAACTCCCAAATACCTGGCAGCCACTTCCCAAATTACCACAGAGGCTTATATGAACTATAAATGCTTGGCCAATAGCTCAGGCTTATTGCTAACCAGCTCTTACATTTTAAGTTACCCATAATTCTATTTATGCTTTGCCATGTGGCAGTACCTTTATTAGCATGGCATGTTCATCTCCTACTCCCTCTGAGTCTGGTTGGCAACTCCTGACTGCCCTTCTCCTTCCCATCTTCCTTAGTTTGGTTGCCCCACCTATACTTCCTGCCTGGTTACTGGCCAATCAGTGTTTTATTAAACCAATTTGAGTGACAAATCTTTACAGTGTACAAGAGGATTATTCCACAGAACTTACAGTTTCAGAGGGTTAAGAGTCCATCATGACCACACAGATGGTCTGGGCCCCAACCTGTGGCCATAAGGGTGTCTGAGGGCCATGTGGCTACCAGGGACATGCTGATCTGAGAGGCATGTGCTGTCACTTGGTGCCATGGTGTTGTCCAGACCAGGGCTGCTGCTGAGGGCCATGTCTGGGTCTGTGGCCCTACAGCAGCCAGGATCTGAATTGATATCTGTGGCTCCTATTACCACCAAGAGTTGTGTTGATGATCAGGGTCTGGTCAGCCACCTGAGGCCGTGTTGGTGTCCAAGGATCATGTTACTACTATCAGGGCCATGCTGATCTAGGTGGCTGGTGCTGCCACCTGGGGCCATGGAGATGTCTGGGCCTGGATTACTGCTTAGGGCCATGTCTGGGTCCATGGCCCTGAAGTAGCTGGAGTATGGGGTGGTGTCCATAGCTCCTGTTACCACCGAGGAATCTGTAGATGCCCCAGCGTCTGGTCAGACCCAAGACCATGTTGGTGCCCGAGAGCCTTGCTGTCACAGGGGCCATACAGATCTGGGTAGCCTGTGTTGCCACTGGGCCATGGTGAGAGCCCAAGCACTGCCAAGGGTCTGTGATGATGTCCACGGCCTGTGTTAACACAAGGGCTCATGGCCTGTGTTAACACAAGGGCTCATTAGAGCAATGCTGTATTTAGCCAGCTCTGCCCTTCACTGGCCCTGAGATAGCTGGCCCCACTCCTTGTTAGATAATACAGCAGAAGAACTGTCCCCCCCGCCACCTGTGAAAAATGGCCCTACCTCTCACCACAGGCATGCACCTCACCTGGGTAGCACACTAGAGCTGACTCTGTAGTTGGGATGCAAGTGAGCTGATCCTGGGGGTGTGAGAACAGGAAAACTGACCCTGTCCCCCCTCTTCTGCCATGTTGTGGCATGGGTGAAAGAAAGATGCCCTCCACTCTCCCCTATTACCTCCTGTGGCAGGTGAGAGAGTTGACCCCTGGGGTCACAAGAGTGGGAGAGCTCGCCCTGACCCTCACCAGCTTCAGCACACAGGAGCATGAGCCCTATACCCCATCTTGGTATACCCTACCTGGGCAGCACACTAGAGCTAACCCTGTTGTCGGGGAGGGGGGCAAGTGAGCCATCTCTGAGGGTGTGAGAGCAGGAGAGCTAACCCTATGCCCCTTGTATGTCCCCTAGAGGACTGTGCACCTTTCCTGGGCAAAACAGTAGAGCTGGCCCTGGTGATGCAAATGTGGTGATCTGGATCTGAGGACCTTAGAGCAGGAGAATTGGCCCTGCTCCTGGATGCATTTGGTGAGCTACCTGAGGCCGTATTGGGGAGCTTGCCTGGGTAGTGACCAGGAGGGAAAGCTGGTGAGCTGACCAATCCAGCTACTACCCATGCCCAAAACCAGGGCTATGAGTTCACTGACCCCAGCATCCAACAAATCTATGAACTATTGAGCATGTGAAGGGGACGAACCTACAGATCCAAAATGGCAGGGTATCTATGACACAGGACAACAGGATATCCAAGAGGAACCCTAGTGAAAGCCCATTATTGGTGATGTAGCAGAAACCAGAGGCCTTAAGTCAAACCAATGATTCAAGGCAATGAACACTTGGAAGTGAAGATGAATGGATGAAAGGGTAAACTTGAAAGGCTTCCGCACTCCAATATTAAGTCTTTCCACCAACATAGAAAGCCAAATCAAGCTGAATTAAAAATAAAATACCAGGTTTATTGGGAAAAATGTTCCCCTTTCTAGCCCCCAGAGATGAGATGGGGAGAGGAGACCGAGAAAAACCGTGTGGCTGCTCTCTAGGAGTTTAAATACCCTGTAAGTGCAGTCTAGAGTAGCTCTGGGGGAAGAGCTCCAGCCTGATGGGCTTTTTGAGAAGGGCAGGGTTTGGAATGGGGTGGGGGAGTGAGGCCCAAGCAGAGGTTCCAACTGAACAAAATTGTGTGACTCAACAGGCCACACTATAACAAACACGCCCAAATAGAGCCGGCAACTGGGGGACCAAGTATCCAAACATCTGAGGACACAGGGGGCGGGGCATTCTTTTTCAAACCACCACAGTCCATTATCTTTTAATTTAGCCTCCAGTAAGTTCTCAGGAAAAGGGCAGAAAACAGCCAGATTCTTTGCCAAGACATCACAGGAATAGTCATAGAGCAGTTGCCATTGAAGTCCTTTCTTCCTTCTGAAATTTCTTGAGCCAGGCCTCTACAATTTGCTTTGCTCTAGGCACTACAGGATCTTGCTAGAAGGAATGCTGCTTATAGCATTCAACCATTTATTTCACCAAAGTTCCAAAGTCTCCCATATTTAACCATACACAGCAAGGTCAGGTTCTTCATCAATACCCCACTCCTGGTACCAACTTCTGCATCAGTTACTAATTTGTTGCTGTGATAAAATACTATGACCAAGGGAACTTACTGAAGGAAGAGTTTATCTAGGTTTGTGGTTCCAGAGGGTTAAGAGTTCACCATGGCGAGGAAGCATACCAACAAGCAGTAGGCATGGAGGCAGGAGCAGGAACCTGAGAACTCACATCCTCAACTACAGAAATGAAGCAGAAAGAAGAATACACAAATAGAGTGAGGCTTTCAGCTCTCACACCTCACCACCAGCCACCTACTTCCTTTAGCAAAAGCTGCACCATCTAAACCTCCACAAACAGAGCCACCAACTGGGACCAAATATCCAAATCCCTGAGCCTACGAGAAGCATGTCTCATTCAAATGATAACAATGTCTATTGTGTTTCAAGTTGAATTTTCCATTCCTGTTTCTCAGCATTCACACAATGAACCTCAGCCTTTGTGTGTGTGTGTGTGGGGAAGCCACTGGCAAGGACCATCCTCAAAAGCTAGAGAAGAATTATTTTTTTCCATCTTCAACTATAGAAGTTTCCTGCTCCACTTTCTGCTTCATTTTTCACTGGTGCCAGCTGTTTCCCCGAGAAACATCTTCCACAGGAAAGGATTGCATAATCTTCCTGAAATATTGGTCTTTGAGGAATGATCACTCAGATCTTGGGAGTTACACCTAATACATCCTCAAAGACATGAAGAACTGCATCCTGCCTGCCCTTTCACCATTGGTGACAGGCTTCAAGGCTGTGCAATAAATCCGACCTGAGCACTGATAGAGGCTAGGGAAGCAATTTGGATCGTTAGTAAGCTCATAAAAATAATTGGGAAAATTCTTCTAAAAATGATGTTGGCCATATGTTCAGATGTAGTCTAGTGACTAATAAATTTTCCTTGATCTTCTGTTCTTTTAAGATCTCATTTGTGTAAAGAGAGCATTGAAAGCAATTACCCTCACAGTCAGATTTGTAACTGTTGAGAGGGAGGTAGGGAGTTCTGGCTGCGAAGGAAGAGTGAGTTCAAGGCTTTTGTAGTGGTGGTATGTTTTGTTTCTTGACCTGGGTGTGGTTACACGGTATCAGCTTGATTAATCACCACTTTAATCACCACTCATTAAGCTGTAATTTTATGTTTTGCATAAAGTAGCTCTGCCCTATATGTGGGGGATATTGTCCTAACTCCTCAGTGGATGTCAAATTGGTACTGAGCCCTGTATATGATACCTTATTTTCTATACAGACTTACTTATGGCAAAATTTAATCTATAAATTAAGCACAAGATTAACAATATCAGTTAATTATAATACAGAAAAGTTATAACAATGTATTGTAATAAAAGTAATGAGGTTATGGTTTTTCTTTTTTAGGAGGAATCAAATATTAGTATATTTTAAAATATACTAATATCCATATAGGCAGATACAATATAGATGTGTTTACCTGTTGTATAGATAGTCACCATGTCTGTGCAGTACCTGTGGAGGCCAGAAGAGGGAGTTGAATCTCTTGGAACTGGAGCTACGTATAGTTGTGAACTGCCATGTGGATGCTGGGAACCAAATCTGGATCTTTGCAAGAGCAGCCAGTGCTCTTAACTGCTGAGCCATCACTCCAGCCCCAAGATCAGTATGTTTGAACCACAGTTGATGGAAGT